TTGACTAGATCGGTGAAAAACCTGCATTCATTCATCATATTCCCGACACAACCGACAAAGCAGGGGACCCGTGGACTAGAAGCAGTGTCTCTAACGCAAGCCTTGACTAGATCGGTGAAACACCTGCATTCATTCATCATATTCCCGATCACTCTTGACTAGATCGGCGAAACACTTTCATTCATTCATCATATTCCCGATCGTAGATCGGTGAAACACCTGCATTCATTCATCATATTCCCGATCAGAACCGACGTTCCTTGACTAGATCGGCGGAACACTTTCATTCATTCATCATATTCCCGATCACAACCGACAAATAAGCGAAACACTTTCATTCATTCATCATATTCCCGATCACAACCGACAAAGCAGGAAACACCTGCATTCATTCATCATATTCCCGATCACATCCGACAAAGCAGGTGACCCGTGGACTAGAGGCAGCGCCCCTAACGCAATGAGCGAAGGTCCCGGGTAACCCGTAGACTAGAGGCAGTGTCTTGAACACAATGACCCAAAGGTCCGGGTTCAAATCTCGGAGGTACCTACCCTCGAGATTGGGTATGGCTGGCTGATGACGGCTAATAAGCCAGAAATGGCAATTCCTGGTCTCCCTTCGCTTTATCGGATCCACTTCTTTAACACATATCAGTGTTCCGGGCTCCCTTTGCTTTGTCGGGTCCACTTCATATATATATATATGCCAACTATAGATGGGGCTACAGCCCCGGGAAGGTCCGTTTCAGCACCGCCCAGTACGAGGCCGTCCTTTGTCAGGGTAAGATCTCCAGCTCAGTCCTTTTTAATTTTCCCTGCATATGTTGAGATCTTCGAATTTTATACGATGCTGTGGAGCATTGATCAAACCGTCCATATTACCTTAAGTCTTAAGTTTTGGTAATATTTATTCCATTCTTTACAGATTTGCCGTGATTCTCAATATGATATATCTGACACCAAGTAGCACCCGCGAGGAAGATGCACCCATTTGCCATTTTTCCAATACTCATTTAAGGGTTTCAATGATTTTATATTATCAATGAAAATCATTTAAATAGTCGACGCTGCTCATACTAATTCAACGCTTCCATTTGAGATTCGGCTGCTTTTTAAGGAGGACATCTAATGAATCAATTAAGTATTAATGCGGTTGGCTTTGGTCACTTGTTGGTGTTTTGGCTGTGAATACAGTTCGTGTGTGCCGGCGACTGAGCACCGATTAAATGTCGGATTTTAGAGACTCAGAGGCCTCTGAGGCATCAGAAGATGAGGGCAGTGAATCAAATTACCCGCACAAAAAGAAGGCTAACTTGTCAGTTTCCTCTGACAGCGAGGAAGAGGAGGAGATCCCAGATGAGGATGAGATATGCCGAAAGGAGGGCAAAGGTTGGATCGTAAACGACGACGAGGAGGAAGAGGAAGGGGTTTCTGATTCCGAAGAAGGTAGCAATGCCAGTGACAAGTCCCTAGAAGAGGAAGGGGGAGATGATGATGATGACGCGCTTGATGATGAAGACATAGAACTTATCAGAGAAAACGTTGGCATCGATATCCAACGAAAGGTAAGTAGCAATGTGCATTAACAACCAAATTAACTCTTCACCTAACATTTGAAGCACTTTTCATGCCTTGGTGGCCCTCATGTATTCCTTTTTGTGTTTGTGCCGACTGCCCTAGTTAAAACAATTTAATCTACATATGTGACACAGGACAACTGGCCTTGCCAACAGTCTGAGAAACAAATTCTCTGCTACCTACTGCACATATGTACAAATAGGGCACTCAAAGGAATTTTTCCTACATATCCATATGTTCAAACAAGGCAATCAAAGTAATTTTTCCTACATATCCCTCAATATACTGATACTGATGTTCTGTCCTTTTTTGAAAGCGTAAGGTAAATCATAGAGTTTTAACAGTTATGGATTCGCATGCTCGCTTATATTGGCAAGTTATGGATTTCCCCCATTTTTCACAGAGACTGTTAATAACTCTGTTTTGTTAAAGTAACTCATCTTTTAGTTTGGTCCAGTTTAAACCTGTAGAACTTCCTGTAATCATAATCTGTCATGGATACTAAGTAAATCCACTTCATATGCTATACTATCTTAATTATTGCACCAAGGTTACTTTTTAAGGCGGGACAAGCGCGTTTCTTTACATTCTCTTAATTTCAAGGCGACACCTACAGCTGGTAAATTATTGTTTAATATTCGAAGGTCTGATTTCCCAAAACTTGATCGAATTCTTAAAGTACAGTGGTTCCTTGGGTGACGAGCAGCCCCTTCTGCGAGCGTTTCAGGTAACGAACGAGCCACTCGCAGACAATTTGTTTCGCTTTACGAGCTTCCGCCTGGTTAACGAGTTGTCGGTGCATGCGTGTGCCTGTGTCCGTCGTTGCTTCCAGGGCGTGTGTCCTCGGTCGCCTGAAGCCAGTCAGTTATCTGATGCAGTTTGATTGGCTACGATAACAAACTGCAACCGGGTCCCAACGGGGTGAAACTCACAAAAACAGGGAGCCCGCCTGACTCAAAGGTGTATCCTCCTCCCACACCATAACC